ATTTTAAGAACTGGCGCTTACGTCCTAACACAAGCAAAACTGAAACCTGTCTCTTTCACCTGTCGAATCAACTTGCGGGCGATACTCTCAATGTAACTCTAAATGACACAGCTATCAAACATAACAACAACCCCAAATATCTAGGCGTCACACTTGATAGAACACTCACCTTCAAAAGTCATCTTACAAACGCAGCCTGTAAACTAAGAACACGAAATAACTTAATATTAAAACTTGCTGGAACAACTTGGGGTGCTTCTGCAGATACTCTTCGGACCTCTGCTCTAGCTTTGGTTTTTTCAGTGGCAGAATATTGTGCACCAGTATGGCTAAATAGTGCACATACAAGCAAAATCGATGTCCAACTTAACCAAACCATGAGAATAATCACTGGAACAATAAAATCAACGCCAGTGAGATGGCTGCCTAATACATCAAGATATCCCAGACATCTCAAAAGAGCACCAACGATTGAGATCTAGAAATCCTCCAATACGATCTGCCCGAAAAATTGGTAATTCGTATGATATACATAGGCAATGGACAACAAGATGGATGCCAACAGTAGAATCGGACTATATTAAGATATCCACCCCAACTCAGGGTTTCATCGGATCAAATCTGCCCCGGTCCATTTGGGCAAGGCTTAATCGTATACGTACCGGACAAGTTAAATGTGCTGATTCGATGTTCAGGTGGGGTCGTGCAGAAAGTCCACAGTGCGATTGCGGAGAATCTAGACAGACCATAAGCCATTGTGTTTCAGACTGCTTGAATCGTGCCTACCGTGGAAACCTCCAGGACTTTGCGGAATGTTCCCCAGAAGCAATTGAATGGCTATGTAAATTGGACATTAATATTTAGTGTCATTCATTGTATTCATTCTATTTTTACTATTTTTAGTGTTTGAATAATATATATAATATATATGTGTATATTATTGTAATTGTATTTGTATATTTATCGTACTGTGAAAGTGCATACGCTAAATAAATAAATAAATATATACATTATATATATATATATATATATATATATATATATTGTTCGAAACCAACAGTTCGAAACCAAATAGAATTGAAATCGATAACATCCCAACAGAGCTAGAAGTCATCCAAGTTCTACAGAAATTGAAAGAAAACAAAGCTCCTGGCGCAGATGGCATTCCTTCAGAATTTTAAAGCCTGGCAAAAAAAACCTGACATACTGTATATGTAGACTGGTAGAACTGATCTGGAAGCAAATAAAGTTGCCAGAAAACTGGAATGTAGGTATAATTGTACCTATCCACAAGAAAGGAGATCAAACAATATGTGACACCTACAGAGGAATAACTCTTCTAAACGTAGCATACAAAATATTGGCATATATTCTTTACGACCGACTATCGGGATATCGTAAAGACATAATAAGTAAATATCAGTGTGGGTTTCGTAAAGAAAGATCAACCACCTATCGAATATTCCTTCTAAGGCAAGCTCTGGAAAAAATATATGAGTATGGCATTGATACTCATCACCTGTTTGTTGATTTTAGATGTGCCTATGATAGTGTTGAAAAAACGTACTGTACAAGCCCATGATAGAATGCAGCATACCAGTACACTTAGTAAAATTAGTGAAAGCGACCCTCTCAAGAGTCGAGTGTAAAGTTAGAGTGCAGAACGGAGTTTCCAGAACATTCCAGTCTCAGATAGGACTTAGACAAGGAGACAGCCTATCATGCCTTCTATTCAAGATTGCACTAGTGAAAGCGATAAGAGAATCTGGAATAACAACCACATGAACTATTATTAATCGCAGCGTACAGTTACTAGCGTACGCCGATGACATCGACATTATTGCAAGAAGAAAGGAGGACGTGGTCGAATCATTCAAGGCGTTTGAAGCAGCAATAAAAAGAATGAGAATATAAGTTAACACTAGTAAGAGGAAGTATATGAAAGTATCAAATTATATACAAGCAACACAACCCTTAACGTAAAATCCTCCGGCATCTCTATGGATGAGTACAGGAGGGCGGATTATGGCGTAGATAAACCTGATATTATTAGGTCCATCAAAATAAACCGGCTGCGGTGGTTAGGTCACATAGAGAGAATGAATGAGATGGAGTGAGAAGGAGAGGCAGACCCAGAGCACGATTTAAGGATCAGGTAGAGTAATAATTGAGAATGTTGTGAGTACGAAACTGAAAAACCAAGGCGAAGAATAGGAGAGAATGGAGACTTTCCTTGAGCAGGTCAGATCCACCATGGGTTGTGGAGCCAATGATGATGATGATACTTTACTATCATTTCATCTACAGCTAAGTGTTAGTGAAACACTCCCCACTGTTGGAACCGCATGTTTAGAAGATTTACCAAAGACTAATTATGAATTACTTGTCATGTTTGTTATTGTCCTCATTTGAGGACGCATAATGTGCTTATATTTTTTTTAACATTTATTTACTGGGTAGTCATTTTTGTGTTTTTTTTGTGTAAGTTTGTGGATCTAACCTAATAAAACATACAAATGTTTAGATCTCACCTTTGCAAATAAAAATCTTATGCACGTCGATGTTAGTATACGATGTCTGGCTATTAAATAACGAGACTGCGCGTGCAGAAGGCGTCCTAGAGGGGAAGTGTCTACTCTTCCAGTACGAAAACACGTTTTTGTCACTGTAGTAGTATTTTTTGTGTAGAAGGTAGAAAAACATGAGCAACGGATTAATGTGAAATTTCTCGTTAAATTAAAAAAAAAAACTCCGACTAAGTGCTATAATTTGTTGAAAGAGACCTATGGTGAGAATTTTCTATCTCGTGCGCGTGTTTTCGAATGGTATAAACGGTTTTCTGAAGGCCGAGAGAGCGCCGAAGATGACCAACATCCAGCTCGACCTGTCTCTGTTTCAACTCCGCTAACAGTGACCAAAATAAATAAAATTGTGCGCGGAGATCGTCGTATGAGCATTCGGATGATTGCTGAGACTGTAAACGCCGATAAAGAAACTGTCAGAAAAATTTTACATGACGAATTGAACATGAAGAAAGTCTGTGCGAAGTTGGTCCCAAAAAATTTGACCCCTGACCAAAAGCTCGTCCGTCAACAGATCTGCTCAGATTTTCTTGAGAGGTTACATGAAGAGCCTGAATTAATGGAAAACATCATCACTTGCGATGAAACCTGGATATTTAAATACGATGTTGAAACTAAGCCACAATCCATGCACTGGAAAACTCCTCCATCGCCAAAATTTAAAGCCATGCTAATCGTTTTTTTTTTTCGACATTAACGGCATCGTGATGACTGAATGGATTTTAGAGGGTCAAACTGTAAACCAAACTTACTATTTGAAAGTTTTGGCAACCCTGCGAGAGCGAGTTCGTAAGAAACGGCCGGAATTGTGGAAAAACAAGCCGGGGATCTTGCACCAAGACAACGCGCTACCTGTGAAGCGTTATTTAGCCGCTAGAGGCATTCCAGTGCTCGAACACCCGCCGTACTCGCCTGATTTAGCACCCTGTGACTTTTTCCTGTTTCCGAAGATCAAGTCTGCCTTAAAAGGAATCCGGTTCGAGTCGATGGAAGAGGTGAAGCGAAAAACGGCGGAGCTCCTAAAAGTTCTAATAAAAGAAGACTTCCAAAATTGCTCTGACCAATGGAAAAAACGAATGGAACAATGTGTGGCGAGGGAAGGGGAATATATTGAAGGAGAGCATTCGATTGTAGAATAATTTTTGAAATAAAACTCTTTTTCATAAGCAGTCTCGTTATTTAATAGCCAGACCTCGTAGTTCAGTAAACTTAAAAGTTGTACTTTTCACCTTGGGTCAGTATTTCGTCAAATAAAAATAAAGCACCTGCCTACGGTAATACTCTACTAAATGACTGCGGTAGGCAATCACCAAATATTTCCGCAGAAATTGTTTTGTCCACATCTAAACAAACCGTCGAGGACGCTGGGTACTAAAGGGGTAATGGCGTAAAGGCCTTAAAGCCTTAACTTCTACTTCCATCGAGTGTCGCTTAGAGTTTAGTTAAATTTGAAACAAATCTATTCAAAACATGCCATTTTTTAGTCGACGAAGAAAAAATTATAAATCTTTCAAAGAATTGAGAAAAAGTCGACTACTTCTCAAGGAGTTTATGAGCATCTTAACCACCAAATTTTATGTACAAGTTTTACAAGGCACAATAATAGGCTTTCAGATTAATATCAAGAATTCGCTTTTTTATCCCGATAGTCTTGCTTATCATGTTTGAATTATTATGACAGCTCTGGCCTCCCATATCGTTTATTGGAATGCTGTTTTTAGAACAAATTCTGTTATTAAATGAAGAAAATAACCAAAATACCCAAAATCACCAAACCAACCAAATAACAACCCAATTATTCAGATCGGAAAATTATAACCATTTATCAAATTTTGTACCAGCATATTTTTTTTAGTTTGAGGTTATAACCTATGTTTTTTCCGTATGTTTAAAGCCCTAAGTCTATCCGAGGTACACCTGTTTCGTGTAAATATTCTGATCGACCCCTGAGCATCAAATAGTATCCCAGTCTAATATCCCAAATTATATTAGAAAAAAAAAGATGACGTAAAATTAAAAAAAAAACTAAATAAACAAAATTGCGAAACTATAAAAAAGAAAGGAAAAAATAAAACAATAAAAAAAACAGTGTAAAATAGGATGAATATTTAATACAAAAAAACCACTAATTATGTATCTTGGTAAAATTCGAGCAGAATTATGATTGTATACCTACCTAACAAACAAGAAGAAAGCAAAGGGCACTTCTTTAGAGCTTCTCATAAAAGTACAAAACAATGCCATAAAAGTAAGATGACGCATGGACTTTGACTCCGAAGCAAATAATATTCAACACACACACACATACAATTAATTGTAGTTTAATCATATCTAAAAAATATCTTAATCAATGCTGTAGTTAACTAAAAACAAGGTAAAAGTAATTAAAATCTCATTGTACGTTTTTTTTTGTTTCAGGGAATTCACAGGATCACTTTGTATAATGAAACTAGCACCGAAGCTATTTCTTCTGCTTTTCTCTATCGTCGGAGGTTCAAGTAAAGAGAAAAACTCTACCTCGAAACACTTACCCAAATGTGTTGGTTTACCTTCATGTGGCTGTAAGTATTACTTAAATTTTCTTATATTGTATAATTTTTTTATCTGTTTACATATGAAGATTTTGATATTTTTTTATTTGCTATTTAACACATAAAGTACATATTTCAAACTTCTTAAATGAAGATTGGGACGCTTGGAGATCACAACGTACTCCAGATAACACACCACACACCTACCGATAAGTCTTTCTGAAAAAAATCATCAATTTCACGATTACATTTTAGAGAAAAACAGTTCAAATAAAAGTTGTAGATATTCAACTTTTATCAACAGATTATCAACAGATAAAAGTTCTTTCATTTGCGAGCTTCTGAATTAAAATACATAGTCCACAAGGAATCTACGTTCCTGTAGTTGGCTGTATACCATGTATTAAAAATTTAATTAAAAATCCTTTGTAAAAGGTATATTTTAGGCCCAAACGGGCTAAGTTAAAAAGACAAAACGTTTTCGGAAACCATGTTCCATCATCAGTGTCCTAGAAAATAGTTAACCACTTAATTAAAAAGAACATAGGTTAAAATTTTGACTAAGGTTAAAGAACAATGTGGTTAATACTTACTAGGGGTACATGAATGAAGCCACCAAGATTAAATATGTGGGTAAAAACCCGATTACATATGTTTAATTACATTTAGTTTTAAATTAATGTTGAAATGATATAAGATTACAGAGTTACCGATGGATTTGGTAACATGGCGACATATGACTCCACGTTGAAGTTGCTAGTCCTGAGACGGTATGTCTTCGAGGACTATATGAGTGCAACTGATTGGCAATGACATTTGATGACAATATTGTTAAGTTATGACGGAAATAATCACAGAGCAGTCAATGTAGCTGTATGTTTCTACTTAAGACAAAAGCCAACATTATTTAAAATTGTGAAAATTAAGTACATTAATATAACAGTATCAACCATCAAAGTTGTAGTTTTTAATTTATGAAATTGAGATGATATAAGGGGGCAAAATTTTTATGGTTGTAATTAGGCAACCAACTATGCATGTATGTAGTAATGAAATATAGAAAGATTTTTAATTATATGGCCCTTTATGTTACTTAAACATTTGGTACCCAGAAAATATAAACTAGACACATGTTGAAGGTTGAATTATAGAAAATATTGATGTTAATGGTTGGATCTAAATATATTTATTTATAATTGGAGGTGTTCTTGTTTGAATAAAATAAAACTGTTTTAGTGAATGTTCACATGTTATTTAACTTTCAACTCAAATATAGAGGTCCTGTATGTCATAAGCAACATTTGGTACCTAGCAAATGTGAAAATTTATTTTGAGTAATAAGTTCATGAACATAAATGTCTGATAAGGTAGTAACAGACTAAAAGGTGTGGAAGTTTTATTGTATTAACTATTGTATGTAATGAACGAAAGATTTTATTTTGATGGTTGGAACATGATTATGTAGTATGTTGAAAGTGTGGTAATCTGCTTATAACTTAAGAAAGGTCCTATCTGTCATAAGGCAACACTAGGCACAAGAGAAATAAAAAGAATAAGTTATAAGTTAGGTTTGTTGAAGGTATAAGTTGTCTCAAAGTGTGATGGTGGTATGGTTGGCTTTGTTGATATTAAGTGAAACTAAAAAGTTTTTGCAGTGTCATCTTTGCAGAAGAATAAGTTGTGTGATTGGATATTATTCAAAATGGATATGAGGATCTTAAGGTGTTCGTTCAAATAATGTGTGAAATTAACAAAATTTGAAGGTTGAGATGTGATTATGTATTATGTTTTTCATACAGAACTCGAATTATAACTTAAAAAGGCCCTATCTGTTATAAGACAACACTAGGTACATGAAAAAATTTTAATGAATAAGTTATAAGTTGAATCTGTCTGCGTTGTGTACTGGACTTAACTTGAAAGATTAATAGATAGCTATGTTTAAATTGAATAAGAAAGAAATTTATGGTTGTTTTGAATGGATGGTGGGATACTGGACCACTGCAGAAAGCTGAGATCACCAGAGGTCCGCTACCAAACCCTACGGAAGATGTGAGAAAATGTAAGAAGGGGACTGAAATGTTTGTCAGAAAGGGTTGCTGAATAGTTTGAGATTTTTGGGGGGCTAACAAGAAGCATGGACAGTAATAGATAAAGAGGGTTAGACTTGAAGTTTGGTTTAATGAAGAGAAGAGGGAAGAGCTGAAGAGTGTGTTAAGTTGAAGTAAAAGTTTTGGAATGGACTGAAGTTTATTGATAAATGTGAATTTTAGTTGAGAGGTAAATTAGTGGTGAAAAATTATGAGAACAGTTGGCGATGAAGAGGAAGGAAGTCTCGATTAAAGGATACATGACGATTGACACAATTTGGGCTTTTTTGTTTTTCTTTTAAAATTTCAAGATCTTCATATAAATCTAATTTAAGGAAGTTTTTTTGGGGGATGTTGTGGATAAGTGAAACGTCTTCTGGGATATTGAGGGTATGGTTATGTTCTTTGAGATGTTGGGAGAAGGTGGAAGTATTTTCCCTTTTTATGTGTTCTAGAGAACGTGAGGATAATGATCTGCATGTCCTACCTATGTAGGAAGCATTGCAATCTGAACATTTTAATCTATATACTCCACTCCGATCCATATAATTGATGGGATCTTTGGAATTAGAAATGTGTTGACCCAAATTGTAGGGTACTTTAAATGACACATGGATATTTTCAACCGAACGTTGGATGAGATTTCGAATATCTCCAGAAAGACTTTCTTGATAATATGGGAGTGAAACATAATTGGGCTTGGTAACAAGGTCTCTGGGGAAAGCAGTCTCCTGCAGGGTCTTAAGGCGTTTTTTACGGATGAGTTTATTGATAATGTTATGGTCATATCCATTGTTGACTGCTATTTGCTTAAGTATGTTTAGTTCTTTTTTGTAATTTAAGTCTGAGAGTGGAATGGTTACTAGGCGATGGATGTAACTATGAAAAGCTGCGTATTTATGCGACATGGGGTGGTTGGATGAGAATGGAATTATGTGATCAGTCTGTGTAGGTTTCCTATAGATACTGAAGTCGAAGTGGTCATTTAATCTGGTAATAGTGAGATCTAGAAAATTAATAGACATGGAAGATTCTAGTTCCATGGTGAACTTGATGTTGGGGTGAATTTGATTGATTTTGGCAAGTAAAAGATCAGCTGAATTGGAATTACCTGAAATGAAGACTAAGCAGTCGTCAACATAGCGAAACCAGTGGAGTATTTCAGGGTTTTTCATGATATGTGTGGATTCTAAGTGATCCATAAATATATCAGTTAGTAAAGGAGAGAGACAGCTACCCATGGCTAAGCCATCAGGTTGTTGGCCACATTGTTCTTTAACCTTAGTCAAAATTTTAACCTATGTTCTTTTTAATTAAGTGGTTAACTATTTTCTAGGACACTGATGATGGAACATGGTTTCCGAAAACGTTTTGTCTTTTTAACTTAGCCCGTTTGGGCCTAAAATATACCTTTTACAAAGGATTTTTAATTAAATTTTTAAAATACATAGGGTAAGCTATACAGTGATTGTAATATAACGAAATTCACTGAAAACTGAATATTATGTTATTATTTTATGATAGAGGCAACCATGTAGAAAATAGTATCTGAATTCATTTTATCACACTACCTAACCTTAAAAACTTGATGTGTATCAACATTTGATACACATCAATCATTTATCAAAAATACTTAAGAATCGTAAAAAAACGCCAGTATTGGAAGAAAATATATTTTATAAGGTATGTTTTGTTACATAAAATTTATAGTTTTAAGTTACTTTATTATGTTTAAAATGACTAAATGTTAGTCAATAATTGCATGAATGTGCTTCGTTTTCATTAAATTATCTATGCCAATCTCTGATTGTATTTTTTTTTATTATAGACAGTTATTGGCTACCTGGCCGTTCACTGTAAAAATACATTTTATTGATAGTATTTTATGTTTGGTAATTGGCACAAGGGTACATAGAGATTTTTTTGTAGGTGCCCAAAGTAAAAGAGGGTGCACAATACGAAAAAAAAAAAATATGCCAAAGAATATGTTTTGCTTGCGTTGAAGGCCATCGAAAATGGGATGTCACAAAGAAAAGCTTCCCAAATATTTAAAGTACCACGTCAAACTCTTCAGTTTAGAAAAAGTGATACGTTTACTAATAAGATAACTTTGGACCAAGCAGTGTTTTGACCAATGAGGAGGAAGCTATTTTAGAAGAATGGATATTGACAAGTTACAAAAAAGGATTTCCAGTTAGGAAAGTAGATATTCAAGCTTCAGTTAAGGAATTTTTAGATTCAAACCCACGTGAAAATCTATTTAAGGACAATTGGCCTAGAGAAGGCTGTTATCGAGGCTTTCTTAAGCGACATGAAATTTTAACTCACCGAACACCAGAAGCAGTTACTTCGGCTAGTTCAGCTGTTTCAGAAGGAGATGTTCGTAAATGGTTTTCTTTAGCCGAGTAATATTTAAAAAGTAAAAATTTAGATTATATTCTGCAAGACCCCACTAGAATTTTAAATGGGATGAAACATGTTTTTATCTGTGTCCAAAAAATTTAAAGTTATTGCGCCTCGTGGAGCACGGAATGTTTATGAGGTAGATTCTGGTCAAGCAAAAATGATTATCATCGTGATGTTTACCTTTTCTGGATCTGGTCAAGTAACTGATCCGATGCTTATTTATCCGTACAAAAGACTTCCGACTTATATAGTTAATTCAGTGCCTTTTTCTTGGGGAATTGGAGATAGTGATAATGGTTGGATGAAAGTTGAGTTATTTTACGACTACATTGGTAATGATTTGTATCCATATTTAAAAAAAAATGGCACTACTTTTCCAATAATCCTTTTGTTAGATGGCCATTCTACACATCAAACACTAAAGTTGAGTCAACTGTGTACCGAACTACAGATAATTTGAATACCGTTGTATCCCAACGCAATACGGTTAATGCAATCAGCAGATGTTGTTGCATTCAGAACACCAGAAAGAAA